CATCTGCCTCGAAAACATTGTGGTCCAATTTTTGAAGAAATTGACGGAATTATTGTGCTCGGAGTGGTTTTTGTTCCTATTTTTGAAGAAAAGGAGGAATATGTTTGCCTGGGGTATTTTCATTTCATTCAGGCCGTTTTTAGTAAAATTTACTGCGTATAGGCTTCAATCCGCAAAGCTTTGGACTGCCAAGCGAGTATGCTTGCACTAGACTAAATAACCATTTGCTTTGTTACTCGAACACAATATTTCAACTACGCGAACTATTTATGCGTGACAAATTATCCGCATTCAAAATCGCTCCAAATTGAATTGGGGCAAGCTAATTGGTCTCATCAATTCCATACAGCACTCAAATTTTAACATTTAAAAGTTGATTGTTTCAGGATAAAAATTTCGTAGTTAGTCAATATTTCCAAAAATCAATCGAGACCAATTAATGGGCAGTTGGAACGCTCAGGGATGCTTTGTACTTCTACGAGCAGTCTTGTTTTTTTTCTTCTCACATCTGAAAAGTATCAACGTTCTGAGCTCAAAATTAGAAAATATTTTACCTGTGATCATTTTTTGTAAAGTTACGGGGGTTTAAAACTGCCATTTCGGGACAATTAACGCGCGATTTATTTCACGCTTTTAATGAGTAAACGGGGATATAATTGGTCTTAAAAATCGTTCCAAATTGGTTAAAGCAGGCTATTTGCCATAATTTCTATGTTACTAGGAGCAAAATCTGTTACTTTGTACTTTATATGTCTTGATTATTAAAAAACTAAATTAAAAAAAAAACTTTTTTTTTGAAAAATTCATCAATTGTTATAAAACGAACACTGCTTCATAGAATTTTTAAGGCAGTCGCAACATTCAGGGCTTTGTCCTGATACGAGCAGGTTTAGTATAATTTATTATGGAATTCAGAGGCAAAAAAATAGTATAAGGTGGGAACCTTTGGGTCGGCAGGGGGTCGAATCCCTGAGAGGGGGGGGGGGAAAGAAGCTTCCAAACACCCTCCCTCATAAATAAGTCCGCTGGTGAATTGAACACTAGGAACTAAAATAGAAAATGGGACTCTAGCTAGCTAGAATTTATCTGGAATCCACATAAAATGCAGATTTTAGAAACCATTTTTGCGACATGATTTTTCTGAATTCCAACGAAAAACAAATAATGTTAGAGTTCTCAGTAAAAAAGCGCAAAAAAACATATCAAAACGGTGTACGGTTTTTTTTCATCGACTACTTCTCGAAACATAAGCACTATTGAGCGGAAAATTTCTTCTAGAATTTTTCGGGTCTTCTTTTTTTTCTAGAATTGGTTTAAAGGTTCTGTTGAATTTAGTCTCATGCAGCACTTATACCCACATTAGTTTTTGAAATTGTGAAATGACTGTAATGTGCAACTTTCAGACTAAAAGTTCTCCATAAAAGTGGGTTCGTCAAGAAAAGGAAGTAATTGGCGCATCATTTTAAGAGCAGTAATGCTCGCGCTTGATGTTGTGATGTAATTATAAGATTTCACTTTAATTTATTAAATATAACTAATATATTGTTTCTCCCTAATTTATAATTACAATTGTTTATAGACACTATTCACAGAAAACGGAAGTGACCAAAAACTGAATTACAGATTCGGCATCTTTGGTTCTAATTCACGAAATCCAATTTCGACCGACCGATCCTAAAATGTTTCTATCGGCGACTGTGGCGCCAATCTATACAATTTTTGAGGAGCGCATGCCGAAAAAAAATCAATTTTTGGTATATTTTCGCATGTTGTTTAAAAAAAATTCGTTTAAAATTCTTAAACCTAGATCCGCTCCTGGTTGTGGCGACAAAAAGAATAATCAAATCGCCAAAAAATGAATTTCATCAGCATGAAATTATTAAAACGGTGAACTTGGAAGGCTACTAGACCCAAATGAAATCAGCACATGACACTAAATTAGCCCACGCATTTAAATCTCAAGCCCCTGAAATAAAAGTAAAGGTACAAATTGCACTTTACCTTTAGTTCGCCAGGGATGGATACCAAATCAGGGAAAATACTATCGAAAAAGAATGGAATTGCTTTTGAATCTAGCTAATAGTGTGCATTAGCAGCCAAATGTATTCTGAAGGTAGAAAAGAGATAGAATTAGAGCAAATCTCGGACTTTTCCCTCTATAATCTAGGAAGCGTCACCGTTGCTCAGGAAATATCCCCTTGTACATTTTTTGAGCGTGAAGTAAGCTCAATCTTAATGTTATGTTAGCCAAAAAGACCATCAATAAAACCATTGGTGCGTCAAAAACAGCTTGCTAGATCAAATATCACGAAAGAATAAAAATCAGACAGGTTTTGAGGAAATGGAATCAAAATACGGATTATAAATGCAATTGATCGTTCGTCATCAATTGTTCTCTGTAATTTGGCACCGAACTTTGACAAAAACACAAGGGAGCATCGTCAAACATAGTTCATTATTTAAATCGAGAACATAGAATTAGATCATTTTCAGACAATCCAGCACAGTTAATAAAGTGAGAATTTTTGTCCGCCACAAACAACATTTTGACTTTTCTAATTTAAGGTTCAGCTTTTATTCTTGAGCTTTGTGCGACTCGGAGGATACCATTAGATCTTTTTTGATGCAATTTTTGCAACCAGGGCCGAATTCAACTCAGTAACAGTTTTTTTGTAGGTAGTTCTCTTTCCTTAAGAATTGTAGTGATGTTAAAATAAAAAGGACCTGTTTGATGAAAAGTTTAGGATGCCCAATAATCATTTCGTTTTTTTAAGGTATTGTAAAAACTTTAATTGAGGAAGCACGTTTTTCTCATTGCTGCTACAATGGCCAAGATTTGATATAAAGACTAGACATTTTCAAGGGGTAGTACTAACATGCGAATTATTTATTTCCTCACGGAGAACCGCTGATGTACTCCTGCCAAAGAAGATGGGACCCTTTTAGTTGTTGTATACTTTGACTTTGTATGGTACTTGAGCCTGTCTTTGGTACTTTCTATGCTTCATGTTTGATCTACATAGGTTTTTAATATTGCTTCAGGAAAAAACAGCCTCATATTTTTATTGAAGAATCATTACGAGGTCAAGTTGTGTATTTTGTGATTTGTAATCGGATTCCGCAATAGGCTGAAAACAGATTTGTCACGGAATCTGCAACTTTATTTTTTTAATCTTCTTTGCTGTTTTGGGTTCCATGAATAATAGCTCAAACACCGTTTTTGCTTAAAAAAGCTTCAAAAACAGGCAAATTTACAGGCACCAAATTGTGTGCCTATTCAGAGTACAATTTGGCTTCGTAATAATGAAAAAATTTCAAGATGATTTTCTGTAAGTATCATAACAGCTCGCAATTTGGTCCTACCCTTGACAAAAAATTGCCCAATCCTAAAACTAAACCTCGGCCCGTATTGCAATAAAAAGCCCAAATGCTGAGTTTTTTCTCATTTTATAAAACGCAACCCAATATTGGGCAGCCTAAACGGTTCATCAAACAATTTTTTTTTAACAAACTTAAAAAAACTCTTCCTGCACAGCAACCGGCTAACTGTTTTTTTACTAGTTTTCCAGGTAAAATCAGGTACTAAAAACGTTCATCTACTACGTTCATGATTACCACTACGTTCATCAATTCTGACAAAACTAGTTTTACTCCGGAAAACTGTTTGCATTTTTTATGGATGTGGTCGGAACATTCGGTGCAACTGGCACATCAACCGACTACAATTTTTGATGGATCGATCGCTTCTATATGTTTTCCTGACATTTTGGGCAGTGATTTTGTTGAACGATGCTTGTCTTTGCAACTGAATGTAGCCTGTACTATTACTAAATGGCTTATTGTTCCGACCATTGAAAATGGGGAGGAACCTAATATTCGCGTGTTTTAGTTTTCTTTATTTTTCCGCCAAAATCAGCTGCCATGAATAATGAGCAGAGAGAATTGAGTAAAAGATCATACTAAAGCCCTTTCAGTCGTGATTCAAATGACACTTAAAAATTTTCAGAAAATTCTCCCTCTGATGCGAAAAACCTGTTTAAATTTTGATTTTTAGTTCAATTTTGAGCAAAAAACGCGTTCGAGTAATGTTCGTAATATGGAAATTAACGATTTTTTAAAATAGTTTTACGCTGATAACACTAATTTTACTTTAAAGAAAATCAGTTTGGTAGTTTTTTTTTCAGCGATTGTTTGACAATGAAGACTTTCAAAAAATATATATATATTACTATGCTACAAAAAATATTTTTTTTTGTTAAGTATTCATTTTTTGAAAAAAAAGCCGATAATTCTAAATTCATTAATTCTCTACGCGAACGTAAAGTTCTCGAATCACACTGCCCGCTAAAAACGACACTTAAAGTTTTTATATGAATATGATCGGAACATTCTGTGCTACTTGAACAGCAACAGGCTATCCTTGTTAGTCTTTCAGTTTTCGCAGACAATCGGAATATATCAGCCAGCAATGGATTTTTGGCACCTCAAGCATACCGGTCTTCGGTCTGATACAGCCAGTCATGTTTGTAGATAGATGTTCAAAAAGTTCATTTCATATTTTGCATTGCAAATTCGTTTAAACAAAATTTACAAACAGGCAATTAGAAAAAGCTCAATGAACTCAAGGAAATTGCAAAAAATAATAGTGAGTAAACAAATCAACACGATAGGGCAAAGTTGTGCGTGAAAAAAAAATTCTGAAGAACAATAAAAACTTAACGACCGAAATCCGTTAACGAATCAGACTGAAACAAAAACTCTTTTCTAGGCTTAGCTTGCAAATACGGTCTCATTTTTTGTATCGGTATGAGAGGGAGAAACTTTAGATATTTAGATACTTTTGATAAAACTAATGTTTAGCAATAAATTTCTCCAGCGTTTCGTCGCGAAGAAACGGACAACTTGGATTGTCTGCCTTTTTTCTCCGATTCCAATAGTCTCAACTTATTGCGTCCGGTTGGTTTGAAACAATAAGCTCCTTAACCATGGCAAAAACGGACTGGCATACAAAGAACCTTTTATTATATCAGAGCTACAATTGATTATCAATGAAATATTTCGGCAAATTAAATTTATAATGTTAATTAATAGATAGCATCATAAACTTTGGAACATCTATTTAAAAGAATACTGTTCGACTGTCAAAGCCATGCGTTTGAATTTTGTTTGGATCAAGTCAACGCAACCAAACGATAGTTTAAAGCGTTAATGAACAAGAAACCTTGTGGTTACTACAGAAAATCCTGAATCAATCATACTCCATGGATAAGAAAAGCCAAAATGAAAAAAAAAACAGGGCCATTGAGTGCTTTTCTTTTCACAGATTGAGTCATTTTAAAATAAGAGCATCGCACATTATCGCGTTAACATCCATTTAGTAATCGGAAAAACAATTGGACTTTAAAAAGAACAAAAAATTACCTTGGTCAAAATTGGGTCTTTATAGTGTTCTGGGAGCTTTTCTTCTGAAAATCAATTTGGTCGACCTAAAAAAAGTTCGGCAAAATTTTCGAAAAATTTTTGAAAATCACATTTTGCTCGACTTAATTTTTTTCAACTTATCCATTTACAGCAATATAGGACACAATATAAGTTAAATATTTAACTTGAATAGTAATAGCTATTTGGTTATTGGCAATTCATATTTGAAATCTGCATCATATTTAGCACTTATTTAATTTTAAAAGAAAAGCTATATCGGGGAATAAACGTCAACGTCAAGAAAGAGTGTACTCTACAAAGAATATCGGCACTATGGACATTAAACTAGCTTGGAAGTATCTATCTAAAGTGGCGGCATCTGAGGTCACTTCATGATGGAAAAGTTGATTTTCGCGTGATTGATGATGATTACAAATCAAAACACGAATTCAGATTGCGATTGAAAACTGCGAGTGAGATCTAAGATGTTCAACAGTGCTACAAAGACAGAAGATATATACAGCTAATCTAGCTTCAGATACAAATTACCGTAATCTAGCTTCAGATACAAAGTTACCGTACGAACAACTCAAATTAACAGCATATGAGCATTGCAAAGGATTCAAAATGTTGCAGAGACTTGGTTGGAAGTGAAAGCAGCCAAACAAAGAGGCATTATCAAATATTTCAGTTACCGTTGATTTATTTTTATATATTTTAAAGCTTGCTAAATGTCTTTTGAACAGTTTTGTCAATCACATTGAGATTCCTCCAGTCACCGGCAGTGTGGTTTTTCCCATTAGGAAAATGTCAATCTCCCTTGCAGCTTGACGACCTTCATTGATAGCCCACACAACCAGACTCTGGCCTCGTCTGCAATCTCCGGCCGCGAACACTCGGTTGATAGACGTTGTGTACTTCTTAGGTCCGTCGCCTCCGCACTTGACATTGCCTCTGTTGTCCAAATTGAGTTTCAGTTCAGAGGCTATCGTCTTCTCCGGACCCAGGAACCCCATCGCGAGGAGCACCATGTCTGCTTTGAAGTGAGCTTCACTTCCCGGAATCTCGCTCATGGTAAATCTTCCACTGTTATCCTTCGTCCACTTCACTTTCACCGTATCAACTCCAGTCAGGTTGTTATTTTCATCAGCAGTGAAGTTTTTGCTCAAAATGCAATATTGCCTCGGGTCGTTTTTGAACTTAGCTTTGACCTCAGCATGACCGTAATCAGTTCGGAATATTCTCGGCCATTGCGGCCAGGGATTATCGTCTGCTCTGGATTCGGGTGATTCCGGTAAGATTTCGAAATTTGTGATAGACTTGGCCCCTTGCCTTAGCGAGGTACCAATACAATCATTTCCAGTATCCCCGCCACCGATGATGATGACGTCTTTGTTTGCAGCCAGTAACTTTAGAATATCGTCCTTTCCTTTGCCTTGGTGTTTCTGCCACGTTTCCAGGAAACTCATTGCGAAATGGATCCCATTAGCATTGCTTCCTGGGATGTTAAGACCTCGTGGCCAAGTTGCTCCTACTGTTAGAAGCACAGCATCGTAATCATTCATCAAACTCTTCGCTGGGACATCTTTACCGATTTCTGTGTTGGTTATAAACGTAATACCTTCGTCTTTCATCAGATCAATTCTTCTGTCGAGAATTTTCTTGTCCAGTTTCATATTTGGGATCCCGTATCTTAAAAGTCCGCCCGCTTTGTCATTGCGTTCGAAAACGAACACCCAGTGACCAGCGCTGTTCAACTGGGCGGCAGCTGCCAGACCTGCTGGGCCACTGCCGATGATGGCAACTCTGTGTCCAGTTCGGAATGGGATCTGCTGAGGTTTGACGAAGCCTTTTTCAAAAGCAGTCTCAATTATTGTATTCTCAATGTTTTTGATGTTAACTGGAGGAGCATTGATTCCAAGCACACATGCACCTTCGCAGGGAGCAGGGCAGACACGCCCAGTGAATTCTGGGAAGTTGTTGGTTTGTGCTAACTGCAGATAAGCTTCTTTCCAGTTGCCTTGGAAGACCAGGTTGTTCCAAGTCGGAATGATGTTACCCAGGGGACATCCGCTCTCGGACTGACAAAATGGGACTCCGCAGTCCATGCATCTCGCTGCTTGATACTTGATAGTATCTTTCACAAACTTGTGATCCTGAATCTCTCCGAAGTCTTTCATTCTATCTTTCACGTCTCGGTAATTCTTGTCCACTCTTTTGTACAACATGAAACCTTTAGTTTTGTTTAGCTTCTTAGCTAATTTAGGATTTTGAATGATGTCTTCAATATCTAAAGAGGATTTCTCCTTGCTCGGAGATGTTTTAACGTCGCCATTTCCCGACTTCACTTCAAGAACTTTTACAGCCTCCTGTTGTCTCTTTATTTCGATATCTCGGAGCGCACGTTTGTACTCTTTTGGGAAAACTTTGTGGAAGTCTTTGCAGGATTCGGGCCACGACGCTAAGATCTCAGAAGCCACCACCGATCCAGTCTTTTCTTTGAACTCCTTCAATAGACCATGAACCAGATCGAGATCTTCGTTTAAGTTGAGTGCCTCCAAATCGACTGTCTCCGTGTTGCACAAAGAAGAAAAGACACGATCCTCGTCATATACGAAAGCAAATCCTCCTGACATTCCAGCAGCGAAATTACGCCCAGGTCTTCCTAATATGATTGCTATACCGCCAGTCATGTATTCACACCCGTGATCTCCACAGCCCTCGCAAACAGCGATTGCTCCTGAGTTTCTGACACAAAACCGCTCACAGGCTTGTCCTCTGAAGAAAGCTTTCCCATCAGTTGCCCCATATAAGCAAACGTTTCCCACGATGATTGATCCGTCCGATTTGAATATACTTTCCTTTGGAGGGAATATTACAATCTCGCCACCCGAGAGTCCTTTACCCACGTAGTCATTGGAATCGCCTTCCAGCTCAAGGTGCACCCCTTTTGCCAAGAAGGAACCAAAAGCTTGACCAGCTGATCCTTTCAGTTTAATATCAACTCCAAAATGCTCCGGTAAACCAGCTTCCCCGTACTTTCTAGAAATGAAGTAACTCAATGAAGCTCCAAAGGCCCTGTCAACATTTTTGATTTCGTATTGAACCTCCATTCGATTCTGATGACCTTCGATGACTGGAAGCACTTGCTTGTAGATCTGGTAATCCAGACGATTTTCTAGATTGAACTCTTGCTTTACACACCCACCTACCATCTCAGTTTGGTCATCAGACGCTCGATGCAAGATACTGTGATAGTCCAGGGTTCTGGCTTTATCGGTTAACGGCTGCTTGATTCCAAGAAACTTCGTTTGACCAATCAGGTCATCAAACTTTTTCACACCCAGCGTGCTCATAATTTGTCGTATTTCCTCGGCCAACAGGAAAAGATAGTTCAACAAATGCTCTGGTTCTCCGGCAAACTTTTTTCTCAGCTCCGGATCTTGGGTGGCAATTCCTACAGGACATGTGTTAAGATGACATTTTCTCATCATGATGCATCCTAGAGTAATCAGAGGTGCAGTCGAGAATCCAAACTCATCGGCTCCTAGGATTCCAGCAATTACGACATCAAGCCCTGATCTGATTTGTCCGTCAGCCTGTACTCGCACTCTTGACCTGAGTCCGTTCCTGACTAACACCTGATGGGCTTCCGAGAGTCCCATTTCCCACGGTAGCCCAGCATGTTTGATTCCCGTCCAACTGCTTGCCCCAGTTCCTCCGTCATGTCCAGAAATCGTAATCAAGTCTGCTTTGCCTTTCGCTACTCCAGCTGCGACGATTCCAACGCCCAACTCCGACACCAATTTGACACTCACTCTTGCATACGGATTCGCACATTTCAGATCGTAAATCAACTGAGCGAGGTCTTCAATCGAATAGATGTCGTGATGCGGTGGGGGACTAATCAACCCCACATATGGAATTGCGTGTCTTGCTTCCGCAATATCCTCTGTCACTTTATAGTACGGCAGCTCACCGCCTTCGCCTGGTTTTGCACCTTGTGCCATTTTGATTTGCAAGTCATCCGCGTGACTCAGATAAGCCGAAGTGACGCCAAACCGAGCCGAGGCCACCTGCTTGATTGCAGATCGGGTCGATTTGTAGGAGTCCACGTTATCCATGAAGCGAACTTCGATCTCGCCTCCCTCGCCTGAATTCGACTTTCCACCCACTCGGTTCATTGCAACTGCCAATGTTTTGTGAGCCTCGTCTGAGATGCTACCAAGGCTCATAGCTCCAGTTGCGAATCGTTTAACTATGTTTACAGCCGGCTCCACTTCGTCAATTGAGATCTGTCCGTGGATAGGCTGAACTAGACAAAACTGGCCTCTGATTGTGCAATAACGATTCATTTCCTGAGTGATTTCGCTGTACTTTTTGTAGGCAGCTCTGGAATTTAATTTTGCAGCCTCTTGCAACGCTGCTACTGCCTCTGGTTCGTTAAGATGTTTCTCGCCACCTTTACGCCAGTGATAGACTCCAGGGTTGTTTGCGATGTTGTTTACAACTCCGAATTGACCAAACTGATTGTAAGCAATGCTGTGGCGACTGAGAGCCTCGTTGGCTAAATCTTTAAACCCACAGCCTCCAAGACGCGTTGGAGACCCAGTGAAGCACTTTTTCACCACTTCTTCAGAAAGACCCAAAGGCTCAAAAATCTGGGCTCCTTTATAGCTTTGAAGGGTACTGATTCCCATTTTTGCCATGACTTTGTTGATCCCGACAACGCAAGCGTATTTGAAATTCCTCTCGATATCTTCCGAAGTAAGGTTCGGATCGATCGCAGCTTTGATTCTATTCATAGTTTCGAAGATGACGTAAGGACAAACTGCATCGGCTCCGTATCCAATCAGGACACAGAAATGATGCATTTCTCTCGCTTCTCCAGTTTTCACTATCAGACTAGTTTTCGACCTGAGCTTCTTCTGAATCAGATGTTGATGGATCGCTCCTAGTGCTAGAAGACTACTAATAGGCACTTTTTCCTTGCCAATTCCTTCGTCACTTAAAATTAAGTATGTCGCACCACTTTGTACCAATTTTGCAGCCTCCGCACAAATTCGATCCAACTCTCTTTTCAGCATATACTCATTAGCTTCAACGACAATTGATATTGTCGCCGTTTTGTAATCATTTTTAGTCAGGGCTTTAATTCCTTCAACTTCTCTTACAGTCAGAATTGGTTGGTCTAAAACGATTCTCTTGCTCCATTCCTCGGAAGGTTCTAAAAGATTCTGCATTGGTCCAATGGGACATCTGGCTGACATCACGATTTTTTCACGGAATGGGTCAATTGGAGGGTTCGTAACCTGTGCAAATTGCTGTTTGAAGTAATCATAGATAGGAGGATTGAACTTGGACAGACATGCAAGAGGCGCGTCATTTCCCATGGATCCCAGTGCTTCTTTCTTATTAACGACCATCGGTGCCAAGATCAAGTTGATGATCTCATTTGTGTATCCGAAACTTATCAATCGTCTGTCACTTTCCAGAAGCTGGACTATGATGTCTTTAGCGTCAGAATCACTACCATATCCATTCATAGCGACTTCAGATCCAACATGTCCGTTCATCATGTGACTAGCATGGCCATTAACTTCGGCAGCAGGAAGCGGAATGTCGTTTATGTGAATTTCATGTCGACACCACTCTCCATACGGGAATCTGTTACTCACTTCATCCTTGATTTCAGCTTTCTGGCTGCTGTCCTCAAAGAACTTCTTTTTGACTGTATCGACAAGAAGCAACCGTCCAGGCTTCAGGCGCCCTTTCAGTACCACCTTCTCTGGCGCTATATCTACAACGCCAGTTTCACTTGACATATACAAGAAGCCGTCTGTAGTTTGAACGAAACGCGAAGGTCTTAGGCCATTTCTATCCAACACAGCTCCTATGTATCGTCCATCCGAGAAGGCAAGCAAGGCAGGTCCATCCCAGGGTTCCATTACATAGGAATTGAACCGGTAGTAGTCTTTTCGCTTCTGATCCATATTCGGATCCTGCTCCCAGGCCTCGGGTACCATCATTAAAATAGACTCATACAGAGTCCTGTCACTCGTGTTGTGGATAAACTCCATCACATTGTCAAATGCACCCGAGTCACTGACATCAGCCTCGACAACTGGAAACAGTTTCTGAAGAGACATTCCGTACTTTTTACTGAACATTACTCCTTCACGTGATCTCATCCTGTTCACGTTTCCCCGAAGTGTGTTTATTTCTCCATTGTGACAAAGCATACGTTGGGGATGAGCTCGTTCCCAGCAAGGGAAGGTATTAGTTGAAAAGCGACTGTGAACCAGTGCCAGTTTGGACTTGAAATTTGGACTCATCAGGTCTGGATAATACTGAAACAGTTGGAAAGACGTGAACAAACCCTTGTAAGTGATTGTTGAAGTAGACAAACTGCAAATGTAGAATCGCAAGTTGTGCGGACCCGGAACTTGATGCGTTGCCTGCTTCCTCAGTAGGTACACATTCTTCTCGAAATCATCGGTCGGATCCTGGGCAGTTAGGAACACCTGAATAATATGCGGCTCAGCAGATCGTGCAGTATTCCCCAAACATGAGTTGTTTGTCGGCATTTGTCTGATGTGAAGTATGTTTAAATCACATTCAGCTATGAGTTCTTTGAAGTGGTTCATGCATTGATTCCTGGACCTCTCGAGTCTGTCTAGGAAAATGATTCCGGTGGCATACCTTCCTGCTTCTGGTAGAACCACTTTGTACTCCTGCCTGAAAAGACAGAATACTTCTTCCTGTATGTGACAACCTTTTCCGACAGAAATCAATTATACCACCGTGTACCGCACCTCCGGTGCTTCGAACTTTTGGTTACGCAAAAACCATCATATCTCGGAAACTAAGATGACTTGAGCGGTCAAACTTGGAAACAAGATCGGCAACCTCTGAGAGTACCCTGAAAGCACCCAATTACAATGTTGGAATTTCAAATTTTGTAAAGTTTTTTTATTCAAATTATGAAAAACCATAAAATTTCATATGTCGGAGACTAAAAGGGGCCGAGCAGTCAAATTTGGAGGCAAGATTTGCAACCATTGAGAGTAACTTGAGAACAATCCACTATAGGATAGGGATTTCCAAAGTTAGTTAATTTATTTTAATTTTGAAACACATTGAAAAATGTCTAACCTTGGAAACTAAGGTTTTAGTAGTCATATTTGGAGGAAAAATTTGCAACCCCTGAAAATACCTTGGAAGCACCCAGCTAAAAGGTTCTGAATTTCCAATGTTGTAAAATTTTTTAAATCTAAGTTCTTTGAAATATCTTGAAAAAACATCATATTTGGGTAACTAAGAGCGTTTGAACAGTCACACTTGGAGGCAAGATTTACAACCTTTGAGAGTAACCTGAAAACACCCAATTACAAGGTTGTGAACTTCAAATTTCCATAAATCTAAGTTTTTGAAAACATCACAAAAATCGTCGTACCTCGTAAACTTGGGTATTCATACTTGGAAGACCAATTCGCAACCCCTGGAGAGCCCTGATAGCATCCCTCGATTGGGTTAATTATTTCTTACTTGGTGGAATAATCAATGAATTTAAACGTCAAAGAAATTAAGCATGGCGAGATAGTGAAGCCCGCGTTTAAATATATAATAGATAAAAGATTTAACTGATCGATGAGCACCACCGCTTCCTAAAATGTTGAAAAAATCTTTGGTTGTTCTTTTTGTAGGTCAAAATAGTGTGGTGTTACTATTTCCTGTCTTTAAAATAGGAATTGCAGCTACTTTTTTCTGGCTCACGAGAACTTTGCCGTTTTAATGTCTTGTTAATCAAGGTATCAAATCAATTGTTACCAATGGTATTACAGCAACATCGATTAAAATGTTTCTGTGCGCCTGATTCGATTATGAAAGGCACTTTTCCAATAAACTCAATTGAGAAAACTGGATTAATATTTAAATTGTTTATTTGGCTAGGAAATGTGAAAATTAAAATCCATTTTCGAAATAAGAAGTCAATCACGTTTTTCGCGAGCTTTCCAATTTTGCTGTTCGATAGCGGAGTTTGCCTTCCTTTTTACAAAGGAAACGAACTGAACTTAAAAAAGAAACCAAAAGTCAAACCACGAAAAAATGAAATTGAGCCTGAACAAATTTTGAAAGTTAACCTGAATTTTTTTTTAAAATCAAGAACTACATGAGTCTTCCAATATTCATTGAATCTTAAAAACAAAGCATAATCATAGTTCATTTCCTTTTTTGAGAGTATTCGGAACAACAAGGATGGATGATTGCTGTCCGCGACGTGATGAGAAGATCTGAATGAAAGCTTAAGATTCAGGCATAATAGACAAATTTTTTCGATATGAAAACCAAAAAATTAGTTTTTGTAGAAAACCTTTTCAAAAATTTCTATTTCCAAAATTAAATTCCTATAATTAAAATTTCTATTCCTATAATTAAAATGGAGTAAAACCAAGATTTCACAGCTTAATTAAAAGCATATCGCCCTATTATATACATTCTCACTCGCTTTATTTGCTCGAAATTGAACAAAAAAAAAATCAAACACTTCAAACCGGCTTTTCTTGACACAAGACTGAAAGAGCTATAATATGATATATCACTCGTCTCATTCCGATCATTAACTTGAAACCTGATTTTGCGTGAGAAAAAAGTTTAAAAGAACAATACAGCACACCCAAAGACAAAAATCTTCCCTACTTTAAGTGCTCAGCACAATAAAACTTATATAATCACAGCCAGGTTTTTCCGGTCGTTTTTTAAAATCTCTTTAAAACTTCGCAACACATCCCGGCCTGAAAAACAATTGGATTCATCCATTATTTCCCCGTTTTAGTTCAAAAACAGGACTATAGGAATTTTCGCGTTGCAAAAGCGCGGTAAAGCTTGTTTTCTTGGATACATATTTCAACAAGCAAATTGTTAATTGCTGCCTATTTTTCCGACTAGGGAAATCTCTAATGCGCGAAGGACTGAATGAGCGAAACTTTTGTCAATCAATCAAGCTCAGATGCGAAAACGAAGCAAGAAATTCAGTCCGCCTTAGGCAGTTTAAAAGGCGTTGATTGGTTGAGAACTTTCGCTCATGAGAATAGGCCCGGTTACGACTACCCTCTTAAGGGTTGGGAATGAACTATGGATTGGCTTATGTTTTGTTCCGCCTGATTTTGATAGCCACAAAGAAATCACGTATAAGATCAAAGGCGGCCTCATATCAAAGCCCTATCGGTCGTCACTCGGATTCCCAAAAAATTCAGGAGTAGAAAAAAGGGTATTCATTTTTTTTATAGTTTTTCAGACAGGAAACTTCAGCAGACTGATTTTCCAACCTAATTCTTCTTTTTAAAGGAAGCATGATCAATTTATTATTTTTTTAAAATTCTAGCTAACATTATTAACTAATCCTTACAGCTCATTAACCAATGCTTAACCTTCTGCTAATAAAAAAAAATTAAAAACTCATTTTTTCATTGTTTTTCCTTATAAAAGTCACGCGATCGGAACTTTTTGAGCTACTCTTACTACAACAGGCTACTTTTGTTATTTATAAGACAATTGGCAAACTTCAACAGCAAGCAGAGTACTATAGCCTTCGTGTTCTATTGCAATAAATGCAGATAATTGATGGTCATTAATGTTTCCAAGCCCTGGGTTCAAACTCCATCCTCTGGTTTGATAGGCACTCGATTTCTCCACTATACCAAAATTGTTGACAGCGCTCACTCGCATAGAAATACAGACAGTAATGAACACTTTAATTAAGTGGGTATATCAATATCTAGAGCAATAAAACGGACTTTTCGCACTTGTATTTAGCTAGAATTTGCACGATCACCACTTTGGCTCCAATTGAACGTGAAAAGCCAGCATGGCAAAATGAAATTCAAAGAACATAAGTGAAAATTTACTTCGTAGCTAATTGATAATTTTAGATTTAAAACCTTTCATAAAACTGAAAATGAGGGGCAAAAAATGAACTAGGAGTTAGCGCTAAATGGTGTCTGAGTTAAGTGGCCAGTATTTTTAGTCCCACCGATGCCGCATGAATTTACACAGCCAGTATCAAAATGGCTAACTGCTTCCTTTCATCAACTTGCTCTTTCAAAAACGGATTTATACTGCTAGTCTCAATGCACTAAAAAGGCAACTTTCCGTTTGATTACGCTCTTAAAAATACCCATTGAACTGCGTTCAAATCCACCTTTCAAACTTGAGGAAACAAGGGTAAAAATTGAATTAAAAAGCTAGAAACTCGAGGGGACCTATTTTGGTAGGAAAATGAGATTTGCATCACTAATTGACCAAATCAATGCTTCATGTATTTTCAAGCACGACCAGATTTTGATAACATCGTGGCTTTCTACTGCTGGCTGACCAAACGCAAGATTGACTGACAAGTCAATAAAATTGATCAAACCCGACGAGTACTAAATTGACATAAAATTGACCATTTGTTCAGTTTTTATTTGGTATCTACTAAACGGTCATTTATTGCTTTTGACTTGAAAAATACGAGAAAAGGAGACGAAAGAAATCAGTTGAATTATTATATCGGTGCGCAATAAAATGACGCTTATATTTTGTAAACATAATATATTCAATTTCAGCTTTGAGTTTTTTTTTGTTCAAGTTCTACAGCTAAAACGTGCCTTCCAAAATACTAATAAGTAGTTCTCGATCATAAAAATGTGCAATTAACAGGCTATACTCCATCGAGAAGCTTACATACGGTTCCATCTATCCACTCCTTATTGAACACTACAACAGCATGAACAAAATTGATCAGGAATTTCACATGGTGCATCAATGGAAAAACACCAAGGGGGTAATTTGAGGAAGAATAATACCTTCCAGTTATTTGCTACGCTCCTACGCACTAGATAACATACATATATGCATTTCAAAAATGGTCAAAATCAACCGCTTTATTTTCACAACAAAGGGCACTGAAAAAATCTCCTACCAATATTGCTGAGAACAAACCTTTTACATGAAGTTGGAACAGCACAATTTCTATTTTAGTAAAGATAAATCTGCACACTATTTGAAAAGGCCCTCACTTATAAGCAGCATATCTTGTGACGCAAACAAAAAGCAGGGAAAAATTTCACGCGTATTAGAGTGCTTATACTGATGGATTTAGTTATGACCGCGCGTACAAGATCGGCCGTAAAACTGTCACTAGCAGTTCGCCAAATAATCAATGCCTTGTAATAATCAATAATTTGAAGAAAAAAAAGGCAGAAATGTTGTTTTTCAAAAGTCAATTATTTTTAGCTCTCAATTTTTCAATATCGTATTTACAATCCAGGTGTCAACAGCTGCTGGCATCATGTTTTGCCTAAAAAATATATAAATAGCCGAAAGACAGTTGGAAAAGAGTCAATGAACGCAAGGAACCAAAAAGTATATATGTTTTTTTTTAAACTTCAACTTTGAATTTCATGTAAAAAATATATGGCCTTAACCCTCTTTGAATTTCAAGACGAACTTAAGATTGATATTTTTGATAAAACTAACTCAATTTGAGAAAACTGGATCAATAGTAAAAAAAATTATTCCGCTGGGACATCTAAAAACTAAATTCCACTTTCGATACCAAAAGTCGTACGTTTTTTGCGCTATTTTCACGTTCCTATTGGGAAAAAACAATTCAACTAACTTTCAGCAGTTGAATTAGAATTGAACTCAAAAAATGCATATATACCTAAATGCATTGACATATATGGAAAAAAAAC